TTTATATTACTCCGTAGTTTTTATATTTTGTGTATAATGGATCATTCATAAGTACACTTAACTGTGCACATCAAATACGGAGTATAATACTTCGTACGTAGTACTTGCAATTAAGGTCGCCACCCAGAATTAACTCCTTTTCATTCACGTCATATTCGAATTTACTGTTTTCAGTTTGATTTCTGCCTTTATATTGTGCAGCCAGCTTGTAACGAGACCCTACCTTCACAACTCCAAAAGGTAGACCAAACGAATCCTTGAAATCCTACGTTGGGTTTAGTTTTGTCACCACTTGAAAAAAGTTACAAAAAACTTCCAAGTTAAAGTTAGGAGGTTTTGTACCGCACATGTATGTAGGGACTAGGGAGTATGGGAAATATTGGTTCTGCATACATACAAGAACCCAATGGATAACTGGAATATTTCTATCTTTATTAATTTGAACTTTTGGTTTTTTGTTGTAATGTTATTTATAATCAATGAGGCCTTGGTTAGGTGGCTTTTTTGTAACAATTTTAGAATAATACAATGTAACTAGTTTGGGTCTAGAATACCGATAAAATGTCACATTAAAACATGATTACTTCACAAGTTACTAAGTGGTGATTATTAAGACATGCGATAAGTCACGCGTAAACTAAACAGTGTTATAAGCTCATATTTACGTACTTTGTTTAAACGTATATATAAACGTGGGGGCTTGCCTCCTAACCCTACCACCTACCCCCATCCTACACCCTTACCATCGACCCCTACCCCTTACCTGCATGTACCCCTACCCCCTACTGGTAACACCCCGACCCAGCAGGACTCGGGATAGTTACTCCAGAACTCTAGTAACGTGCTCACAAACCGAACTAGCCTTTTCAATACCGCGCACTTTGTACTCACTCGTGGAGGCCCTAAGAAACTTCCCAAGGGCCACTCATCCCAAGACTACTCTCTTGTTAGCACGCTTAACTTGAAGTTCTTAGGTGATGAGCTCCCTTAAATGGACATGCATCTTGTTAGTATGAATAGTACTATTAATTCGTTTAAATTAATCTCAAGCGTTACACCACCCCTACCACCGATCAGGGTCAAGGTGGGGGTAAGGGTAATGGGCTACAAATCGGTCAGGGTGTAGGGGTAGGATAGGGGTAAGGGTGAACAAAAAAACCGAAAAAACCGAAACCGACCGCCAGCCAAACCGACCGACCAAAACCGAAACCGACCAAAACCGAACCGATAAAACTGAAACCGACCGAAAGTGACTAATTCTTCGGTTATTCGGTTTAAGGTTCATACTTTTGACTTAAAAAACTGGTCAAATGAAAAAAACCAGCAAAAATGGGTAAAATCGACAGAAAACGATACAAAGTGACCAAAATTGACTCAATTTTTGCGGTCCGATTCTCACTAAAACCGCCCGACTAAAAACCAAAACCGATCAGAACCGACCGACTAAAAACCGAAACCGACTAAAACTGAATCGATAAAACCGAAACCGCCGAAACCGAAGTGGTGAACACCCCGAGAGAGGGGTACAGGGACGATTTAAGGGTGGGGGTGGGGGGGGTCGGGGTAAGGGTGCGGGTACCGGTATGGGTAGGAGATAGGGTAGGGGGTTAGGGGTATGAGGACGGGTAGAGGTAGGTCGGGATAGGGGTAGGGGTAGGAGTAACGGTAAGGATAAATGCGGGAACTGAACAAGTTTAAACTCGCGCTTAATTAATACATGGGGGATTGTGGATGATATGCTTAGTAAGCGGCACTTTAACCACATGTTTGCGTTAGTAAGCGGTACTTTAAGCGCGGTCTGTGTGTTTACATCACATGTCTTACTAACCTAACAGTGTTTTTAGCAGCGAAGTAAACACGTCGTATTTATAGCTATTGAATGAAATAAACAAAAAAAAATAGACTAAGAAATTATCAAATTAAACTTAAGCGATATTCGTACAGTTGTAAAAAAAAGCGAAATTAATATAGTAATACTCGTTATATTCTTATCTCTTTTATATGTTTTTAGTGTTTTTAAGACATTCAATTTGTTTATTTCGATTTACATTTGATAAAATATGAGATTACATCATATATATATGTGTGTGTGTGTGTGTGTGATTTACATTTCTACATCTCTGAGTTATGTTTATAGACAATTTCTGGAGTTAGATTTGATAATATATGAAGTTACATCTTTTTGTGAGTGAGTTGCATCTTTTTATGTGTGAGTTACATCATCCTATGTGCGAGTTACACTTGAATTTGCCTCAACAAGTTACATTTTAATTTGCACACACTTAAGTTAGATTTTCCATCAACTCGAGAGTTACATTTTAATCGCAATGACATTTCTTTCGTGTTTAGGAAAGAAGAAATATCAAGATTTTTTTTATCATTCCATGACCTAAAATATAGGTTTAGTATCAATAAGGGACCTAAAAGACAAAATGTGTGATTTTTTTATTGTTCAAATTATTCCATGATCTGAATAACTGAAAGCTATCCATCTAAGACGTAAAACGTCATACGTAGTATATTTTAATTTATATAAAAATATTATGAACTATGTTACTAATTTGTGATGATTTTATCTTGACAAGAGTTCTTATGACTGTAAAAAGTTTATTAGTTTTATAAGATTAAATAAAATTTAACTTTTAAAAATAAAAATATTAAAAATTCATGATATTTTTATATCTTACTCGTGAGTATTTTCTCTTAATTACTCTCAATAATATTTCTTACACGATGGAGTAGCTAAGTAGAAAAATAACAATCAACAACAATGACTTATAATTATGATAATAATTTGTGTTTTACATTAAAAATTAATTTTATAGACATTTTTCATTGAATTTAAGAATTTTATTAAATTTAAATTTGGCAAATATTAATGTGAGGGGCAAAGAATGAGAATGATCCAAACTCAGAGGTAACTAATTGATTTTTGAAAATGCAAGGTTGCATTAATAATTATGACATAACCTCAGAGGGTCAATAGTTAATTTCCCTTTTTAAATCAAGGTAATTACGTGTGACAATTCAAACTATCTTTTAGATAAAGGATTATCATTTGAAAATGCCTCCCAAATTCACCTTCTTAATGATTTGAATGCAAAACTATTATCTTGTGTGAAGTGGAACATCAAGTATTATATTAATGAAACAAATAATTATTATCTTGTGTGAAGTGGAACATCAAGTATCAAGTATTATATTAATTAAACAAATAAAGAAAATGTTGATAAAATGATTATGGCCATTAGGATGTGCGAAGTATTTTAGAAGCACATTAAGAAGAGAATTGTACTATTAGTTGTGGGACTTTTGGATAACAATCTTGACACCAATTCTCAAAGAGTTTTACTTTGAAGGACATGGGATTTAATATGACTGTTTGTTAAGGACATGAAGGATACTCACTTGGAATGTACTAAAAAGGTCTACGTAATTGATTGCGAATTTTGCTCCTCTCCATTAACTGGAACTCTCCAGTAGGAGAGAGATAGAGAGACGTGGGGAAATGGTGGGGTAGGGAAAAAGAAAAGATTAGAAATGATTTGATAAATATGACCAAAATAAAGATGGTTTACAAAAATATGATTAGTTATTAGAGTAGTAATGAAATCATAGTAATTCATGTTCAAGTTTTGAACTTTAGTTACCACAACAATACATTGTAGTAATGAATAGTCTTATTTATGTAAATAAGTTTTATTTTAGTAATATTCTTGTAAAAAGCTCAAAAGATTATGTTTAATTATTATTTTTAAGGAGAAAGATAGAGTGAAAAAGAAATGGAGAGAGTAAATGGAGAGAAGGAAATGGAAAGCAACATGACTCATTGATTACTGTAATGCTATAACTGTAATGCTATAGTAGCCCCTTTTCCTTTAAGTGTCATCATACTTTTTCTTCTATAACAATGCTATGAACTTATTTTATTATTATAACACAATCTAAAACCACAATAAATCAATTGTCTTATAAAACATTTATGGCCAACCTGAGGATTCTTTTTTATAGGATATATTGTTTTTAAAAAGTGAAAAAACAAATCTTTTTAAAAGTGTTGCAAAGAAAAGCGTAAGTATACCGTATTAGTATGAAGGGGAAATTATGATACCCCTTCTAGTTTGATCATAATTAAAAGTCAACTATATATTTACCCTCTCAACTACGATTAATGTTGTAATCTTCCCCTTCTATCAACATTTTCATCAAATGCCTATTTCTTTGACTAAAATACCCTTGTTTAGAGATTATTTGTTAAATCCTCTCATCTACATACGATTTTTTTTACCGAACTCGTACCCGTATCGTGACTATTGAAACGGCTCGGTTCGATCTTAGACCTAAACTCGTTCAGTACGGTTCTATTTTCAAACGGGGCGGTACCATATCATACTAATACCAAACAATACCACTTTTTCAAGTGTTTAATACAATATCAATTTACATAATTATTAAATTGTAAATTTTTAATAATTTACATGGTCGAACAGGTATGGTCTGGTTCGCGACGAAAAAAATTGAGATCCCTTTCAAATCCCGTTTTTCGGTTCGGTACTATATCGGTCTGATTTAACACCATGTCGGTTCGGTATTTTTGCCCACTCCTACTTCAAATACACAGCCGAGTGAATTTTCCTTTGATGTACGAATGAGACTGCGACTGAGAATTGAAATTAGAGCATAAAAGAAGAAAAACGAAAAGGCACAAAGCACTTTCAAGTGTGCTGCAATGATGCTTGGGATAACATTAATTTTTTGTTCAAATACTTTTGGAGTAAGCCTGAACACTTTCAATTGATGTACTTTTATTTTATAGCACTCCTTAGTTTAGTTTAATAGATAAGGACATTTTTGGAATTCCACTTACAATTAACAATCCAAGCAACTTAAATTTAACAAAGGGGGATATTCTAATTTTAATAAAAACATAAGAGATAAATAATTCAGTTCTAAAAATATAAGGTTGATTTAATAATTATCACCTAACCTCCAGGGAGTGGGTAATCATTACTTTCCCTAGTATGAAATAATAATATAAATGAGAAATAACGAGAGGGGACAAGCTGACATGAAAGTCAAACAAATTACTCATATACTATCTATAAATTTAAGTTACGTTACTCTTATTAAATTCTATTTCCAGGATTTTTTTCGGATAAAATGCAAACCATCTTCATCACCAAGGGGCCTAAGTCTCCCATGCCATACTCTCTCTATGAATGAGAGAGCCTGGATTAAAATTTGTGAAGATGGTGGGCAATTTAACATTGTTATACAACAAATAAACAAGAAGTGGTGCCAATTATTTGGGCAATAACCCAACATTTAGTTACCAAATGTCTAAATTTAGGAAACAAAATGTCCAGTCAAGAATATACTGAGGAATTGCAAGGATTTTGATGCCCTTGAGGAGACATTATTTTGATCTTCTTGGGCAAAGGCTCTGGGGATGAACAAACAGATGATGATGGTGAAGAATCAGCCATGGCTGGCCATGATGAATCATTGGAGGAATTGTTTGTACTAAATGACACTTCCATAACCCCTCTGGGACTCCCTGGGATTGCCCCATACTTTCTCTTGTAAGCTGATTCAAAGTGGATTCTTGATCCCACCTCCTTGATTAGCTTATGACAATCCTCCACTTTGTCCTGTTTTGTTTAAAACCCAGTTTAGTTACTGGTTATCTAAAAGTGCCAATTGTTTTACACAACTATGAGCCAGATAATTTGCCATAACAGATAAACAATTTTTGGGGGAAATAAATAATGATGAATATATGATCAAATTGAAGGTAGTGAATAAGTGTAATTCGTTATACTCACTATGGCTATAGTAACCATGACAGTATACTAATAGTAATTTTAATCTCATTTTGTTTATACGTTTTGTTTAAGTAATATTTAAGGAAAAATCTCGTGTTTAAACTATTGAGTATTTTCGGCAAAATTACACAAATAAGAATCTTAACATATCTAGGAATTTTTTCTTTTATTTATTAAGAAAATTATATAAATTTCTTCATTGGAAATTCTAAAGTTTAGCGACAACATATTAATTAATTCTAGAACAACATACATAAGTTAGATTACTTAGTTAACGTATTTTTATGCACAGTTATTACTCGTGAAAGTAATAAAAGAAATTGACTGTTTGTATCCTTGTATGAGTTGGTTTGACTTGTGTGTGTAAGTGTGTTGTTAGATGATCACGTAGAAGCTTGTAGTAAAATTAAATGTCAAAATTGTTGTTACCGATATATACATATATATTTTTAATATTGCGATAAAATGAGTCCCGAATATGGACAAAAAAGGTGATAATGTTTTTTAATATTGGAATACACCTAATCTAAACACCGGAGTATGTATGATAAAAAAAAACTAGAGTATGTATTAGCTGCACTTTTTATACGGAGTAAAAGAGTGCAAATGATAGCCAATTATTTTGGTATATATATACTCTCTTTTATCCCTAAAGAAAAGATTAGTCAACTTTGACTATTTTTGTCAAAACTTACCACTTTAACCATAGTTTTTCATCAATACGTTCGAGTGAAAAGTACTAATCAAAACTATACTTTAACAAAGAATATCTACTACGTATTTTTAAATATGAAATCATTTTGTACAAGAGTCAAGTACAATAAATTCACTTTTCAGTTGATGACTATTGTACCAATTCTAATTTTTGATCTACAATTTTGACTTTATCAACTTTTTTGTAAGTGATTACTGTTCATTGCCTTCATGTGGTGCTCCAAACTACTTCATGTGGTGCTCCAAACTACCTTCATTTTAAAAATTTTGATCAACTACATATTTTATTGAAAATTATTTACAATATAAAAATTATATGAAAACGTTATTTGTTAAAAGTACTTTCATAAAAGTAAAATTTATAGCTTTCAAAATTTATACTATCGCTTAAAAAGTCGGAGAAATGCTAGAAATTTAGTTCGGATCAGAAACATTAGTCATATACTAATACTACATATAAAAATGAGCATACTCAAAAATATAAATCAAATATGAAATTGATATAATACTCGTAAAATCAAAAGTAGAATTAATTGTATGTATGGCAAATATTAATGATGATAAAATATTAATAATAATAATAATAATATTAATTTACAAATATTACTCCCCTGTCAAAAAATATTGTAAGGGCAAGAAATAAAAGAAAAGCCATGAAAATATCTACCTTGTCAGTTCCAAGAATTCCCATCAATTGCTCTTGGGACTCTTTACCAGCTCTTGGCAGAATCCTCCCAATGACATGCAACATTGTGGCAGAGGCCATCACAGAGGGTCGGTAACGCATGAATCGACTATCTGTTTTTCCATATTTTCAGTTTTAGCATCAATAATTATAATAATATAAACCCAAAAATACTGACATCATAAAATAAAATAAAAAGTGTTCTTGATAACAAAATTTAAAAAAAAAAATGATGTAATTGTAAGAGTGGTGAATTACCAGAAATGATGGAGAGAAGAACACCCTCACATCTGCTAAGAAACTCAGAGCAGAGATGACCCTTCAAATCAAGCTTTCTGGCAATGAATTCGAGAAATGAGAATGGAGTCACGGGATTCATCTTCCATTCCAGATTTGAGAGTATCAAAAGCTCCATTCTCTGTATCGTTTTCGCCTCAAACACATACTTTGCTTCCTCAACCTACAAAACAAGCAACAAAACGTCAGTAAAACCTGAGGATACAAAAATACTGCCTTCGTCTAGTCCAGAATGATTGCGTGATTATACACTTAGCTTGTCCACTTCGGAGTAGCAGTATTAATAATTCAATTTGAAAACTGAAATCAATAAAGAAGATTAATGTCAATTAAAGTTATAGATTAAGTGCACAATTTTTTATTTCGTACATTTAATTATGGAAATAATTACATATGTATGACTAAAATTAAAAAGAAAAATTGACAAGAATAATCTCACCTTTCAGTGGTCTTCTCATAATAATCACATTTTTACATAATCCTAAAATAATCTCACCTTTACACCCCATCTTCTTTCATTGGACCCTGACAAGATTTTTTACTCTTTCTTTGTAAATCATATAAATAATCTTATCTTTCACTTTTTTATTATATCCTTATAAATGTGAGATTATTTATATAAGATTTTCAAAGAAGACTAAAAAACTTGGTCAGGGTCCAATGAAAGAAGATGGGGTGCAAAGGTGGGATTATTTTGGGATTATGTAAAGGTGGGATTATTATGAAAAGACCAGTGAAAGGTGGGATTATTCTTGTCAATTTTTCCGAATTAAAATTGTTTAAAAATATATGACTAATGGTTAGAGTAGTAATGATATCACATTAACTCATGTTCATTTTTTAAATGTAAGTTACTATCAGAATACCTTGTAGTAACTATTAATCATATTTGTGTAAATGTGTTTTATTTTAATAATATTTTTGGAAAAAACTCTTAATTGTGTTATACTCCGTAATTAACATAACTAAGGTTGGTGTTAATTTTTTAAAAATCTTATAATTTTTCATTATTTTAAATATAACTTTTTTTCAAATTTATTAAATTCAACTACTAAACCAAAACTTCGTCAATTTCAATTTCTAATCAGACAATTTCAAAATTACCAAACATGCTCTCTATGTCAATTTATATTACTAGAAAAGTAAATTATGATTTCGTGCGATCGATTTCAAAAGAAAGAAAAGTGGAGGACGAAAGCCTAAAGTCCAATAGTGGTTAGAGGCTACAATTTGGCCAACAATTTCATCTAGTTGTAAAAAGGGATAGTTTGGTCAAATTTGAATTATGAAAATAAAAAATGATACTCCATGCTTATTACTTTATCTTTTCAGCTAAAATACTGAACAGAGAGTAAAAATCGTAATGTTTCAACAAAAAGAAACAAAAGAGAAAAATTCTCCAATTGTTTAAAAAGTATACACAAAATCCTTCTAATTCCATGCAACAAGCAATTCGTTTGAAAAGGTGCAGATTTGATGTCAACCTCTTTAATTGTCCGAGTACACAAACAATGTACAATTTGTGTTCATTTTTTGTGTACACCAAAAAATGATCCAAAAAAGAATTGGTACACACGAGAATAGAGCGAAAAAAGAATAAACTTTGTGAAATTTAAATTGAGAAAAAATCACATTCCAAATATTTTGGCACAGGAAAAGTACTCCCTATGTATAGATTATAAAGTGGGAGGAGTATTTATTAGACCAAATGTACTCGGTGATACGTACTCCGTAGTATTTAATTTTGTAAACTTTACCGTCTACTTACATGTATCAACTCTGTTTATGCAACATTTATTACATACGTAGTACCATAGTAAGGAGTATATTTTAAAGTAAAAATTACTTTTATTAATGCTCTTATTAAATTAATTAATACCGAGTAAAATCTTAAGAAAATCCCCCAAATAATGGACATCAATTTTTTGCTTTGTTTTGTTGTTTTATTATGCTGGTTAAGGCAAACCTACTTGGAAGTCTAGGAGGAGGGGAACAAGAGACTCTTCCACTTTAGCAGCAAGAGAAAGAGAAGCCACAGCAGCGAGTTGACTCGTCCATGATTTCTGAGTCTGGGACTCGAGTGTGGGGAAGAATCTATCAAGGTAGTTGATGGCAAGAAGGGCAGTTTGGGGAGAGAAAGAGTAGTGGGCAGTGACCTTAAGAACCCACTCCACAACCTCACTTCTTGCCTTAGCCAAATCTGGACTTCTCTCAATGACATTAAACAAAGCATTCTCTTTTTCTTTACAGAACAAAGAGCTCAGCTCTTCTTCATCTTCCCACAAAAACACAGATTCATCAATGCAAAACCTCTCTTTTTCTGCATCTAGTCTGTGCTCTTCTCCTTCCTCACAGGAAAACGATGCAGTCTTTAACAAAAATGGAAGCTTTTGTGGTTCTTGGAATGCCATCTTCTTCAGGGAAGAAGAGGTTTAGGTGTGTGAGCATTTATTTCATTTAAAAAAGATGATCAAGAAGCCTAATGGCTGGATTTGAGTGATCTCTCTCTCTCTAGTCTCTTTCCCCTCAAGGACCCTTTATATCTCTAGCCTAGACTTGGAACTTGGGAGGAAAAACTTGGGGAGAGTTCTTTTGGGGAGTGAAAGAGCAGAGAAAGTTGGAGCTTTTATTAGTGGAAATTTTTTAATGGACAAGATTACAAGCTGTGTCATTAGTCTTAGACCAAATTAAGATTACATTTATTAGGGGGTGCTCCCTTGTTCAAAAAATACAATAACAAACAATAATTTAGGGTACTTTTTGGACGGACAGTCATTTATGACATTGCATATAAATTCCGCACATCCGATTTTTTTGAATTGAATTAAATCCAACAAGTTTTGTTTGCTATAAGAGGTATAACAAATAATGATATATTAATGCAAAATTTCTAATTAGTACAGGCCCATGTCTATTTTTATCAAAAAATTTACCAAATATAGTTTTTGAAAATTAAGTACACATCATTCTAATTGATTGACCAAGAGGTCCTTTTACATATTTATGTGACATTTTTGCCCTTTTAGAGGTTAATTGGCCTATTTAGGATTTTTTTTTTGCAAATCTTTCTAACATTTATATATTTGTTCTGTTAAGCCCGGTGTTCTAGAAATAGGATGAGATTCAAACCTCAGACCCCCTCCTTGGGAGTGTCACAGTGATATCATCAGACCACAAGGTACTTGGCGCCTATTTAGGATTTTGTAAACTCTTCTTTAGTTTAGTTAGCCCTATGATATGCACTAGTTTATAGTGCATAAGTGTATGTTTTTATATCGATCTTGTGTAGACTTTCCATCACTTTTAGTTAGTTTGTAAGTATTTGTTTTATTTTAGTTGTAATTGTTTTTACCTTCTATTTCTAGCTATAGAATAGTGATAGAGTTTTTAGCAAGCAAAAGGGAAGAAAAGCTGAAGACAAAAATTCTCAGGAACACAGACCCGGGCGGGTCCCTTACTCGACCCGGTCGGGTCAGATTTGACCCGGAGCACCAGAACATGCTGCAGATTTGGAAAAGATCTGATTTTGGTCAAACCCGGTCGGGTTCCTTACTTGACCCGGTCGGGTCTGACTTGACCCGGACAAGTTAACGTGCAGAAAACAAGAAATCGTGGGAGATAATCTGATTTTGACCGGTACCCGGTCGGGTATGTACCTATACCCGGTCGGGTACCCGGCCAAAGGTGTTGAAAAACACCTATAAATAGCACACTTTTTCTTCACAAAAAATCATCCCTTCTTCCATATACTTAAGCTCAGTTTAGAATAGCATTTCTCTATATTTCTTTTAGCATGTTTAGTCTCCAAATGAGGAGCTAAACTTCCATTTCTTGGTTTTGCTCTTGAAGCTTGTTGATTATTAAAGTTGTGAGTTATTTTCTTACTTTCTCCTTTTGATTATTAATTCTTCCCTTAATCTATCTCTATATTAATGTTGGAGGGTGGCTAAGTGACGATTAGTTAACGTTCCAACATTGATTATTACTAGAAACGATCAACGAACCGATGGTTAAATGTTGATGGTTTCACAAGTAAGTAACTTCGGTTTATTAATGCACGGTCGTGGTTAATAAACTTAAGAGGGATTAATTTTGTTGGTTAAACCGAAACCGTTGTGTTGAGGTTATCAATCTCAATTGATTTCATCAAGGAGTTAAAGAGGTTAAATGCTACTATTAAATCGGTATACGGCGTTGTTCTATATCTGGTTAATAGTAAGGGTTATTAATGAACGGTCGTTGTTAATAACTACCCTCGATGAATTGGATATACTCCTCGATTGAGTATTCGAGAGGGGATAAGTTATAGATATAACAATGATCGACTAAAATATATCAACAAGTGGAAAGTAGCAAGACCAAGTCCCTTTTATTCTTGAATTTAATCCCATATAACTCGTTCATCTTCGTGTTTAATTTAATTAAATCACTCAACGAACAAAACCCCCCCTTTATTTACTATTTACATAAAAAGAAAGTTATTCCTTTCCATGTGGATACGAACTCTACTACGCTATACTACGTATAAGTGTTAGTATTGAATTTATTTTGAGTGCACTCACGACAAAGTGCACGTCAAATTTGGCGCCGTTGCCGGGGAAAGGCAATTAGTTTTTCTTTTTACTTTATTTTAAGAAAAAGAAAGAAAAAAAATATATGGTTCAAGTATAAAGATTTCTATTTCTTCTGAGCTTTGTAGTATATGGTAAAATATCGTTCACTGAACGAAATCACATACCACTCAAACCCCGAAATAGAACAAACTCTCGAGCGGTTGAAAAACAAGTTCTCAAACTCCGACTCGGGAGAATCATCAAGTGCTAGTTCTCAATCTAGCGAGACCGAAGAGCCAATCACTATGGCTCATGAAACAAGAACATTGAGGGAGCTCACGGCTCCAAATCTAAATCAACAACCCCTATGTATCACTTTCCCAACTCTTGATACGGGGGTCACATTTGAGCTAAAATCTGGGCTCATTCATCTTCTTCCTTCTTTCCATGGCCTACGGGGGGAAGATCCTAACAAACATCTATCGGAATTCCATATCGTGTGCACGAGCATGTGCCCCAATGGCGTATCCGAGGAACAAATCAAGTTAAGGGCTTTCCATTTCTCCTTAAAAGACACCGCGAAGGATTGGCTTTTCTATCTTCCTTCGGGTAGCATCAATACATGGGCTCAAATGAAAAAGAGCTTCCTTGACAGGTATTATCCCGCATCTATCTCTTCAAGTCTCAAAAAGCAAATCAGCAACATTGAGCAAGCCGATGATGAGACCTTGTACGAATATTGGGAGCGCTTTAAGAAATTATGCGCTAGCTGCCCATATCATGGATATTCGGAACAAGACCTCATCCTCTACTTCTATGATGGGCTTGTTGATCAAGATAGACGCATGGTGAATGCGGCATGTGGAGGGGGTATTGTCAACAAAACCCCTTCTCAAGCAAGAGACCTCATCTCCGAGTTGGCCGAAAACTCGAGGCATTATAATGGGAGGTCATCATCAAAAAGAGTTATGGCAGCAGAATCCAACAATTCGTTGGAAAGTCAAGTGGCCGGCTTGACTTCTTTGGTTAAAGATTTTCTTTTGAATCCCAAAACCCAAGAAGTCAAGGTCTGCGGCATATGCTCAACACAAGGGCATCCCACCGATTCTTGCCCAACATTACAAGAGGAGAACCCCGAGCAAGTCAATGCTTTGGGTTTCCAAGGTCAAAGAAGATATGATCCTCACGGCAACACTTACAATCCGGGGTGGAGGGATCATCCCAACTTAAGGTACGGAAACTCTCAACCTCCTCAACAATCAAACCCTCCTCCTCAACAATATAAACAACAAGGTCAAACATCGAACTCGAGCATGTCCACCGAAGACATGATTCGATCACTAGCCATGAACATGGCTACGATGCAACAAAGTGTGACCCAATTCCAAGAAACAACCAAATCAAGCATCCACAATTTGGAAAGCCAAATAAGCCAAATCTCAAATGCCGTAAGTAGGCTTGAAGCTAAGGATTCGGCAAAACTCCCATCTCAAACGGAGCCGAATCCAAGGCAACAAGCCCATGCGGTCACTTTGAGAAGTGGCAAGGAATTGGTTATGGCTAAAGCAAAAGCAAAAAGCCATGTTGGAGAAGAAGAGGAGGATATCTTGGTGCCAAGCACAAATCCTCAAAATGAAGAAGAGAAAGAGGAGGTCACACCTCAAAGGAAATTTCCACCACTCGATTCATACGAGCCGGTGCCACCTTTTCCGGAGGCTCTCAAGGACAACCGAAAATACAACAATGACAAGGACATCTATGAGACCTTCAGCAAATGTGAGGTAAATATCCCTCTTCTCAACTTAATTAAAGGCGTTCCTAGATTTGCTAAGTTTTTAAAAGAACTTTGCACTATTAAAAGGAAACACAAACTAAATGGCAAGCATAAAATCCAAGTTAGTGAAAGAGTTTCAGCCGTTTTCCAAAAGAAACTTCCTAAAAAGTATAGTGACCCGGGAATGTTCACTATACCATGTAAGCTAGGAAATTCTAGTTTTTCTAGGGCTATGTTAGATTTGGGTGCATCAATTAATGTCATTCCATACTCTCTATATAAGTCCCTAGAACTAGGACCTCTACATGAAACGGGGGTTGTTATCCAACTTGCCGATAGATCCAATGCTTACCCAAAAGGTGTAGTAGAGGATGTACTCGTCATGGTGGATAATTTAATCTTTCCCGCTGATTTTTACGTTCTCGAAATGGAGAACGATAAAAATGCCGTCCCGATATTACTAGGAAGACCCTTTTTAAAGACGGCTAAGGCAAAAATAGACGTTTTTAGTGGAGTATTAACTATGGAGTTTGATGGTGAGAAAGTTGAATTTAATATCTATGACTCCATGAAATACCCCACCGATAATCACTCTCTTTTTGCCATTGACACTTGTGACACTTGGGTCCAAAATGTGTTTGAAGTTGAGGGGAAAGACGAATTGCTAAGCTCAATTGAGAACGACGTAGAGAATTTCACTATGGAATACTCTATGTCAAACAACATGAAGATGATGGTGGCGGAGTTAAATCAACTCCCACTTTTGCCACCGGGCTCTAAAGCCCTCCCACTAACCATTCCAAGCGAGAAGCCGCTTCCATCTGTTTTGCAGGCACCGGAGGTGGAATTAAAACCACTCCCTGAAAATTTGAAGCATGTGTTCTTGGGCGAAAATCACACTCTACCGGTGATTATCTCAAACTCCTTAGCCCAAGAACAAGAGGAAAGATTGATTGCGGTCCTCAAGGAGTACAAGTTGGCCATTGGATGGTCTATCGCCGACATCAAAGGCATTAGTCCATCCACATGCATGCACCGGATCCTACTCGAAGATGAGGCCAAGGCGGTGAGGCAACCGCAAAGAAGATTGAACCCACCCATGATGGAGGTGGTTAAAAAAGAAGTGATCAAGTTACTCCAAATGGGAATCATATTTCCCATTTCCGATAGCAAATGGGTAAGTCCAACCCAAGTAGTGCCAAAGAAGACCGGAGTGACGGTCATTGAAAATAAAGATGGCGAGATGGTGCCCACCCGAGTCCAAAACGGGTGGCGAGTCTGCATTGACTACCGAAGGCTCAATTCGGTAACTAGAAAAGACTTCTTCCCATTGCC